CTCCCTCTGTCTTTTCAGGCGACACCCTGCCTAAGTGTGTGGCTGGGCTTTGGAACTGGTGCTGCCTCTGGCCATGTCCTTTGACTTTTCTGTTGCTATTTGCTCACAACCTACGTAAGTTATAAAGAAGCCATACTGGTTTTCTGGAGCGTCATCATGCAGCACCCTGCTGTCACTGACACAGCTGAGCTTCAGCAAATGACTTCTCCCGAACCCTGAACTTCCAGCGGCGCTCTTCCCCAAACTCAATTTCTTCATGTCCTTTTGTTTTATAGGATCTTGGAAACAGCTGCAGTGTATAGCTCTCATCCTGGTGACTTTCAGAACCATTCTCACCAGGGAAGCCCCTCCGTTACAGCTTCTTACCACCTGTCCCATCCCACACCACAGCGTTCCTCACAGTACTTCAAAGGTCTAAGGATCTCCCACAAGGCTATCCCAGAGTTGTGCTTTTTTTCTGGCTGTGAACCTTGTGCAAGTTTTCTCACCATTCTCAGCCTTAGTTTCTTCATTTACAAACCGAAACAATAGTCCTCGAATAAACCTAGTCCTCCTGGTGGACTTTTTAGCAATGCAGGCACTCACTGGTTTCTGAACTTCTAGAGTAGAACATTCTTTGCCAGGCTCTCAGCAACAGAAATGGATGGTGCTGGCTATGAGCAGAAGTCCATGCCTCAGGACACCCGGCCATCCCTCCCCCAAGCCCCAGATAAGCTTCACAGACAGATGGCATGTGCAGAGGATTCACATTTATTGGTTCAAATACAGTACCTAATGCTTGCTAAACATGCATTTCACACTAACTGGTCACATTTCCAAAGGTAGTCAATTCACAGAACAAGGCCCACCCCTTGCCAGCAGGCAAGTGTGGGAGGTAGCAGAGGGCCTGAGCAGCCTGCAGAGCCCAACTATCATTTGGTCATGCAGGGTTGATGGAGCCAGGCTGGCAGGCAGCCCTTGGCCAGCCCTTTGGGAACAAGGGCTCAGAGACATCCTATTCATCCGATTCCTACTGTGGGAGGACTTGGAGGTAGCCTAAGGTAGGCTCACGATGCACTTGCCATCAGAGTTCCTGAAACCCAAGCTATGGAGCATACATAGGAAGGCCTCTTCCAGGGGTGGCTGGTCCCTAGCTGGGCAGGTGGGAAGGACTCCCAGGATACTGCCCAGACATTACAATGCAACCACAAGCCCCTATCGCAGGCCTGGGATGGCAACACAGACAAAAACACCAACAGTCCAGGGTTTTGTTCCCGACAGAAACATGTAAACAGCACGGGAACAACAGTATTCTTTTCCCACAGACTCCTCAGAGAGGGAATCGACCAGGATGTCACTCAAGAGGTAGTTTTTTTCCCCCCATGGAAATTTGAGTCAAAAACATTATCACCTATTATATTTCTGCTAAGAAAAAGGTCACCAAAGAGCAAGAGAACCCTTTGGCTGGCAGCACTGGCTTCAGGGTTTGGAAAACTAGCCTCCACCAGTAGCACATTTTTCTAGGGTTTACAGCAGGCCCTGGCCTTTCCCATAGCTTCCATTTAAGCCTCCAACTGATATCCATGCAAGCTGGTATCTATTTAGGACTACAGCCTGAGAAGAGGAAAGCAGAAGGACCAGGCTTCCCAGGAGCACCAAAGAAGCTCATGTGCAGGATGGTTGAAGCCCAGACCTAGCCAAGGAGGCAGCCTGCTTCCAGCTCAGTAGACTGTGGTGCTCCCCCTGAGGAAGCACTCAGGGTTTGACTCCAGGAAAGATGTTACTTGTGGCAGCCAAAAGAGGGCTTTCTGGGGACCCTGTAATTAAATACACATCCCTGAGCTGTGGCCCCAAAAGCGCCTGCTTCAAGGCTGACCAGTTTCCAGCACCTGGTGGAATGATTGCCGTTTTTCATCCTAAGACACAGATAAAACACTACTTCACAGACACTGGGCATGAGGAAAAGGGAGGAGGACCAATGGCAGAGGGGCGAGTGGGTATTCCCATGAACCACAGTGGGGGAGTCAGTTAATGGGTTTTCTTTCTTTCTAAATTAAAAAAAAAAAGGTTTAATAGAAGAGCTGGTCTAAAAGGATGAATTTCTTAAAAACTGCAATTTAAAAATTAAAAAGTAACAAAAGAACAGTGTTGCAGAGGCAGAGACACAGAGCAACTGCTCAGCTTTCTGCCCTATGGGAGGCCAGGGCCCCTTTAGTTTAACTAACCTTGGCCACAACTTAATGACTGCCTTCTGCCTATCCATCCCATTACTCAGGAAGTCAAGAACAAGCAAGAGAGGTGCAGGGCAGCAGGCTAGACAGCTGGCTGAGATCATGGCAGCATGCACTTCCCTCAATAGTGGGGCAGGCCAGAGGTAGGCTATGTGTGGAATGGGCAACTCTGGGTGATGCCTCTATGTTCTCCGATTCCCTCCTGATTCTATGATCAGGATGGGGGGAGGGTTCCTGTTCGCCCCCTTCAGCTGTAGGTTGGCCCTGGGAACAGGGTGTCCTAAGCCAGGTGGAGTGCTTTGAGATGAGTTAGTTGTAGGGAATTTCTCCAAACCCTGCAAAGGACACTGAAGGTCTATCATGGGAGCCAGAGAACAATTACAAAGCTCCAAGACTCCAAACTTTTGTCTTAGGTCAAGAAAACACACAAGAAAAGGAAGGGGATGTCTTTATGTCCTGGTATAGTGCAAGGAGGCTTTTGGGGCCATATTTTTTATGGTGGAAAAATTCTCACTCAAAGTGAGTACTTTTAGTTGCCAAGATCAGAGAGGATAGAAAAAAGAAGAATGAGAAATAATGTGCACAAATTTTTCTTCTTCCACTAGCAAAAAGGCTGCCTGTTAACCAAACATTATGGGAAAAAAAGGCAAAAAACAAGCACACCAAACCTCCCCCTCCAACCTTTCTCTGTGTCCTTCAAACCAAAATCACAAATACATCTAGTGGCTGACCTAATGTCTCCACGCTGCTAGCTGCGCTCCTCCCTCTCCTCACCACACCTGAGTCTGCAGCACACTCACTTTACCCTGTTTAAAGATGCCCGTGTCATAAAAGGACTGGGAGCAGAAGACATTAAAGGCGGTCCACAGGTCAGGCTCCAGCTCAGAACACACAGCCACTTGGCTCAGAGATTCTGCAGGGCTCTTGGCAATGAATGGGCTCTTTGTTCTGTGGAATCTGCTGCAAACATTTGCAAAAATGGATTTGTACGATGGCAACTTGCAGACCGTTTCCCCCACTCTACAAATTAACAACTTGGTCTGTTTAATACTACATTATTGGAGAGACATGTTCCTGCCTCATCAGAGCTCTGACAGTCAACACACCAGGTAAAATGCTAATTTGAAAAGCAATTTCAAAAATTAACAATTTGACAAATGGAGGTCTATGCAAAGTAAGCTGCCGCACACAGGCACTGTCTCTAAGAGGTGTCTCTGATTCCTAGCTTGAGGAAAGCAGCTGAGACTCTGACCTGGAGCCAAAGAATGTGATCTGCTTGGTTAAATGCAAAAATTCAGGCAAACAAGAAAAATATTGTGAGCTTAGAAACTAAAAGACACATCAACACACACATATCTTCCCACCAAAACGTGAAAAACATTCTGTCTGGGACTTTCCTGAGAAACACATCTCTTTCTTTCTTTCTCAGAGTGGCTAGTGAATAAGACTAAGAAGAAATGCTCTGAGCTATGGACAACAAGAGACATTAAGTGTCACTTTGCTGGTACCCGTAACATTTTACTAGAGAGAGAAGCTCTAGTGAAGACTACTTAGAATACACAGGATGTGGCAGCCTCCTGGGTAAGTGAACTAGGCTTCATAGGGGTAGAGTAAACAGTTCCTGGCCACAGAGGCTCAAGGAGATGCTGTGGATGCAGCAGGCCAGCCAAAGGATGCACCAGTGAAGCAGCTGTCTGGGCACCGACTGTAGAAGGCCTGCTGAGGGCAAAGAAAGGAAAAGCAGCTCAAACAACTCTACGACAAACTAGGTGTAGCCGGAGCTGAGGTGTGGAGGCAAGAACTTTCCTAGAACGAAGTGGGCAGGCAGTAAAGCACAGGGGCACCAGGCTGCGTCTGCAGAGGCCTGCAGCAGCCAGCCCTTAGACACATGAGGTAGTTTAAAGCCCCTTTCCCTTCCAGGTACTTCTGGGCCCATCCCTCTAGGCCTCGGTAGACCAGACCACTGATGAGAGTTGAAGGAATAACTGGGCTTCTCTGGGTCTTGGCTTTCTGCTCTAGAGCTCTCGTTTTGGAAATAACAGGAGAGCTTACAACAAAAGTTAGGAGCCAAGTCTCTGGTTCCTTCTACTGTTTAAAAATGGCAGTTTTAGCCACGCGGTGGTGGTGCACACCCTTAATCCCAGCACTTGGAGGCAGAAGCAGGTAGACCTCTGAGTTTGAGGCTAGCCTGGTCTATAAAGTGAGTTCCAGGACAACCAAGGCTACACAGAGAAACCCTTTCTCAAAAAACAAAAAACAAAAAGCAAAAAGCAAAACCCAAAACCAAACCAAACCACCACCAAAATACAAAAACTAAACAAGTTTTAGATTTCATTCTAAGGATAAGGTAGGGTGAGAACAGGGGCTTCCAAAGGAGTCTATTCTTTCAGCAGCCTGGCCTTTGTCCCTCTACCCTTTGAGGGAAACAAGTTAAAGGAGAACAAATGAGAAATGACAGAACAGGGCATTTCTCTGTTACTGTTCTAAAGGACAGGGAGTCAAATCCATAGGAGGAGGGATGGAGTCTAAGGAAGGAGGAGACTGGGCAGCTGGGAGGCAAGTCCTACAGACTGATTTATAGTCAGGACTCTGCCTGGACAAAACCTGACAGCAGCATTCAACAGACAGCAGTGTGTGGGGTGGGAGGTGCAGCACAAGGGAGGAGCACAAGCTTCTGCCCTCTGGGCTGCTGGGATGAGGTGATGGTTAATCCTCATCAAACATTGAGGGTTAAAATAAAAACTGCTTCTCAAACGTCCTGCCCACCTCTCTAGTAAGTCTCCCTTACTGTTTGCTCCTTTGGCATATTTCTCTGGGGCTATAAAAAGGCAGCCAGTTCTCGAACAGACAAGCATACATCTGCTGAGAAATTGTGGAAAGGTAGGGATGGTCATATCCCTGTTTCCATTGAGGTAGTTGTCTTTGTCAACATTACGGAAATAGTCGTCTACTCCATCCCACCCTCTCCCTCAAAATACAAAAGAACTATCTCTAAACAATGACAACATGGTAACATTAAACATCTTCACATTCTGTAAACTGCAAGGAAATGCATCTGCTGCATTCACACAAAAGCATGTGCATCATGTTGAAGGCCATACATTCAACTCTGTCGTGAAATAAATATATAGAAAAATGAGGTTAAAAACAGACAAACAAACAAATTCTTCTTGTGATGGAGGCAGCTGCTCCACAGTCTCCATCTCGGTCTCTCTGGCTCTTTCCTCTGGAGCTTGTCCTGCCCACCCAAGGCACTGCTGGCACCCGAGGCAGTGCTGGGAACAGGTCACTCCTTCACTGCACTTGTCTTGCAGGAATGCAGCACCACCTTAAAGAGGAGGGGCAGCTGTTCCAGGGGCACATTCACCATCTTTCCTGGATAAAAGGGAAAAGAGGCATTAGCAGTGGCTACCAGCTAGGGAAGAAAAGCCAATTTTTCTCTTCTCAGGCTGCTTAATCTCCTTGGTGCAGGACAAAGGTAAGACAAGTATCAGGAGTACCGGCAAGGTCATAAGGGTTAGATAATGTCAGGGTATATCTAGGCTCACTCTTCCATATACTACACTTGTTCTATGCCAGTTAGTTCAAAGCATTGTCTCATTTAGACTCAACGTTTTTGTGATTGCCTTTTACCCCCTTTTACAGCCGAGGCTCTGAAATGGACAGGGAGTCCTACTGAGCTCTTTGTAGCTGAAGTACTATAGGGAACTTGCTTCCTGCAAACTCTCTAACATTCTATAAAACACAGTTCTTCAAAACACAATAACTAATGCAAGTACTAGGGAAGTAGGGGGAAGAGTTATAAGGGCAAATAAATTTGAAATGCCTGAAGATAAAAGAGTTTGACAGGTTTTTTTCACTGATGATTTCTCAGAGCATTAAGCATACAAACAGTGTAAGCAAACTATCTAAGGCTATTGTTCTCCCTGTCAGTAACTTAGAATGACCTGGAGGGCATTAAGAAAACACTGATGCTTGGGCTTCACCCCAGACCAATGAAGCCAGAATGTCTGGAGATGCAAAAAAAAAAAAAAAAAAAAAAAAACACAAAAAAAACAAACAAACAAAAAAAACAAAGACAAAACAACAACAACAAAAAAAACCCAAAAAAACCCAAAAATCAAAAAAAACAAAAACAAAAAAAAACCTCCAGCAACAACGAAAAACCCCACTAAACTAAACCAAACCAACCAACCAACCAGCCAAACAAACAAAAAACGAAAACACAACAACAATTAAAAAAGAAAAAGCTGTTTTCAAAAGCTTTCCAGGTGATTGGAAATACTGTCAGGTCCAGCTCATATCTGCCAGACTGACGTTTGGTCTGGGGTATCTGCACACTATATGAAGATATAGTGCTGTGATTGGTTCAATAAAAAACTGAACAATCGGGGGCTGGGGAGATGGCTCAGTGGTTAAGAGCACTGGCTGTTATTCCAGAGGTCCTGAATTCAATTCCCAGCAACCACATGGTGGCTCACAGCCATCTGTAGTGAAATCTGGCACCCTCCTCTGGTGTGTGGGCATACATGGAGGCAGAATGTTATGTACACAATAAATAAATAAATCTTTAAAAAACAAAAAAAACCTGAACAGTCAATAGCTAGGCAGGGGGTATAGGAGGGACTTCCAGGGAGAGAGAGGAAGCAGGAGATAATCAAGATCAAAGGAGATGCCAACTGGAGAGAGTCGGACATACAGAATGAAGGAAAGGTAAAAAGCCATGAGGCAAAACATAGATCAATATAAATGGGTTAATGTAAATTATAAGAGCTAGTGGGACAAGCCTAAGCTAAAGATGAGCTTTTATAATTAATAATAAGACTCCGTGTTGTTATTTAGGGCTGGCAGCAGAAAACCAAGTCTGATTATATATGTTTTCCTTCAAAAATGGCATTACTGGGGGGTGGAGAGATGGATCAGCAGTTAAGAGCACCGGCTGCTCTTCCAGAGACCCTGAATTCAATTCCCAGCAACCACACAGTGGTTCATAGCCATCCATAATGAGATCTGGTGTCCTCTTCTGGCAGAACGCTGTACACATAATAAAGAAATAAATCTTTAAACTTGGCAGTGGTCGTGCATGCCTTTAATCTCAGCGTTTGCAAGGCAGAGGCAGGCAGATCTCAGTGAGTTCAAGGTCAGCCTGGTCTACAAAGTGAGTTCCAGGACAGTCAGGACTACACAGAGAAACATTGTGTGTGTGTGTGTGTGTAAACCTTAAAAAAACTTTAAAAAATTACTGAATTTTACAGAAACAATCCCAGTCTAAACATCACCCCAGTGAGTACTAGACATAGAAAAGAAGAACCCTCACTATGTGAAGTAAAGCAACAACAAAGAGCCAAGGTCATGCACGAGAACAGACCTACTGACTGTCAAGAGCTTAGCAGAGGGCTGAAGCCACATACAAATTTCCTTTTGTATTTTGTGGTGCCAATTTATATGGTACAATTCTACAAGACAGAGTTTTTGTTGTTGTTTTTTTTGTTCAAGACAGGGTTTCTTTGTGAACAGCCCTAGCTGTTCTGGAACTAGCTCTGTACACCAGGCTGGCCTCAAACTCACAGAGATCTCCTGCCTCTGCTTCCTGAGTTCTGAGATTAAAGGCATGTGCTACCACCGTCTGGTAAAACAAAGTTTTTTAAATTGATATATAACTTGCATATAAAATTCATTATCTAAAAGTATACAGTTCAGGGCATGAAGTGGAGATACTGAGCTTGCTTTCCTCATCCACAGAATAGCTGTACACCATAGGTGCTTGGGAAATGGAAGCTTCTCTTTTCTAAGAGGAAACACTAACTTCCAATTCCAACAGAACTTTTCTAGTAATGGGCCTAGAATGAGCATCGTATGAGCCTTGTCATCTCAGCCCGTTGCAAGCTTGGAGAAGCAAGGAAGGGAGGATACCTGGACCCAGAATATTACCTGCAATGTATCGGATCTCTGGCAAGCACATCATAAGATCAGGAAAGCGGTTTGGTTGATGTGTGTATTTATATTCAGTGAAATCCTGACAAATGTACCAATACCGCTTATTCAGTTGTTCCAGTTGTGAGGCACTGGTCAGACCCCTGATATCTGTAAACAAAACAAAATAAAAATCACACAGGGAACAAACAGGATGGTAAACACCAGATTTTTTTTTTAATGAGACATTATTAAACACAGTCATAAAAGGGATCTTTTCTCCTTCTAATGTGGAGAAAGTAAAATCCAGACTCAGTAAATAAGATTAAAATAAAAAAGGACCTGCAAAGAACAGTCCTTTGTCTTTGTCTGAGCCCCAAGTGCTTACATCGAGGTCTTAACACAGGGTATGGTGGCACAAACAGGCACCAGAGACCATGGAACAAGTGGCTAGCTCTTTACCCAACAATATTTTGAACTGGAGGTTATCAGAAACATTGGTGATACCATCTCCAGTGTCCCCATGTTCTTACCATTTTATCTTGATTGTAAGTATGTATGTCTCTATCTAAAGTACAGAAGATGAATAAAGCATACTGTATGTAAATCCTACCCAGTCTTTGAGGTCCGCACAGTTCTCCTCCTCTAAGAAGTTGCTGCTCATCTTCCCCACACGCAGTACAATTCATGTGTTGAGTACTATTGGAGTATATACTCTTCAGGGACCTGGGAGCTGGTTTGTTTTTTTTCTCCTCCTTCCCAACCCCTGCTAATATCTTTAATATATGGTACAGGGCTTGGCTAGAGAAGGCATGTAGGTCACCTGATAAATGCATGACAACCTATAGACAGGAGTAGGAGTCTACCAGTTACTAGAAGGCAGAGCGGGGAGCAGTGGTAACAAGGCAGGCATGATCAAGAGTCTCTGGATTGGAAAACTGAAGATAGTAAGACAGCACTTTCAAAGTCACAGGGAACAAAGTCACACAGGCCCACTCTGGGAATGGGACATTCATACACTACTTTTGATAAAAACAAAACAAAAACAAAAACAAAAACACACCAATTTTCCTTCATAGATTGATTACCAGCAACTACCACGCGTTACTTGTTGGCGATGTGCCTATAACCTGACTGGACTCTTCTAACGGAGGAGTCATGTGTACCAGCACTCTTCCTGGAGCACCAGAGCAGCTGCCAGCATGTCAGCCACTGTCTTATCGCCAGCAGTTTCATCAGTCACCCTGCTCTTCTTCAATTGCTGGTAAACTTGGTACATATTTTAAATGACGCATGTTCTGTCCTTGGTGTCTGTGTTTAAATGCATTAAAACTGACTAAACAAAGCGAATCCTCTTCCTTCCTCTGTGAGTTATAGAGATTGTGGCATTTAGATTTCAAGAGAAAAATCCAAAGCATTCCTTACACTGCAGGGGATCAAGTAGGGTGATGACTAGGGGGAGCACATGGCCTTCCAAGACGGATGGTCACGGGGTGTAACAGATTCTGTGACAGTCCTGGAGGTGGGGGTGGGGGTGGGGACAATGGGGAGTTGTATATGTGTGACACATAAAACAAGCTGCTGCCTTCACCCCACCACCTACTCACCTTGATTCAGGAAGTTAATTGCTTTCATGCATGCATACTCCTCATTGCTGACCTTCAGCTGATGGAACTTGTGATATAGGTAGATAAGCCGTTCAATCACCTCCATCCCTTCATCACTAAATCTAGACAACAGATAAAGGCTTTTACCTAGGGTACCAATATGAGCAAAGGCCAGTAAGGGACACAGAGGTTATCTATGATAGGAAAGAAACTCCACTTGGGGGAAATGTCACCCACAACAAAATCCATGCTCTGTTTGGCAGCCAGTGTAGATTCTGCAAGTTGCTGTTTCCAGGGTCGGACAGAGTCAAGTAAAACCAGGTTCAAATCCAACTGTACCACACAAAGCTCTGAGAGTCTAGGAGGATTATTTAATCCCTGTAAGCTTTGAGATCTCCCTCTGCAAGATGTTTACCTGCTTATGCTAAAGGAAATTTGGGATAGAAACCGAGAAGAATGTGACAATATTAAGACACAGCTTTTGTGGAGATGCAGTCTGCAGTATCAATGACAGCTGCTATGGCGACTCTGTGAGAGTCTCAGTCACGGTGTGGAAAACGCTTCCAGTTCTGTTTATTTAGGTTCACTGTTTCTAACAAGGCTAGGATAATATACAACAAAACACTCTTACTAGAGACCCTGACTCAGTCCTGGGGGAAGGAAACACTTGCTGAGTCTTTCCACCACAAGAGCCTTGTGCTGAGCACCTGTCCATTCTTAATCCTATGAGTGACGGGAAACAATCACTATCAACACTAGAGGAGAAATTCAAGTTCAACATGGAGAAGGGACTGGCCCACCAACACACAGCCAGCTACTGGTGAGATGAGAACCTGGAGCTTGGGCTAACTTCCCAAGGCTTTTCCAGTGTCTAATGTGGTCTGTTTATGCAGAACAGACAGGTTTCTCCAACTATTTACATATAACTTCTTTCCACCTGATGAATTCTTACATGACCCCAGGGATATGGATAATAAAAGGCATACAAATCCAACATTGATAGTAAACCATAGTGAAATTCATCTTATTCTTTTATATGTTGGTGCATATGTGTACATATATTCATGTATGTGTGTAAGAGCAGAGGTTGACACTGGGTGTCTTTTACTATTGTTCTCCACTTTATCTTTGGGGATAACAATCTCTAATTGGATTTGAACCTCACTACTTGGCTAAACTGGCTGGCCAGCAAGTTCTGGGATTTGTCTGTCTCTGCTATCATTCAGTGCTATAGTGTAATAGACACTTTCAGACTTTTATATGGGTATAGGTACCTAGGGGTCCTCCTACTTACATAGCAAGGATTTACCTACTAAGCCAGTCCCAGTAAATTTACTTTAAGACAACTTTTTGGCATGTAATTTTATCATTCACTAAAGATAAACCAAATTTGCAGACCAATGAGATGAATATGATTATTACTTTTACATGAAGAATTAAGTTGCACCCAAGTATTCGACACTGCAGGACACACAGCAAAGTTTATCAGAGTTTCTTTCTTTCGACAAAGTGTTATCATTTATAAAGAGGTGGTGGTGGACCAGTCACATGAGGAGCAGCAGCAGGTCACCGGAGGCCTGGGTGGGAGACAGATAGAAACACTACGCAGAGAGAGTTTGGGTATAGAGTTTATTTAGTAGGTTATGGAGGGGAAGGAGAAGAGGAAGGGGGGAAGGGGGAGAAGAGAGAGGCAGAAGCAAACGGAAGAAGGGCAGATGGCGGGGGGGGGGTGGGGAAGGGAAGAAGGGAGGGAGGGAGGGAGGGAGAGAGAGAGAGAGAGAGAGAGAGAGAGAAAGACCAGGCCAGCAAATTATACAAAGTCTTACCATATATCCCTGGCTGGCCTAGAACTCACTACATGAAACAGACTGGTCCCAAACTCAGAGCTCTAACTGCTCTGACTCACTCTGACTCTCTCTCTCTCTCTCTCTCTCTCTCTCTCTCTCTCTCTCTCTCTCTGTATAATATATATATCCATATCCTCCTAAAAAAAGTATATTAATCAAAATCTCTTTGTTCATGTGTAGCAAGGCTCAGAGTGGTCACCGACTGTGCTCCTGACATAAAGGCCCTTTCATAGGAATTCTTACTTTCCTGACAACTTGTGAGATGAACCATATTTCTGTATTAGGATAAGGGTGTAGAAAGAGGTGACTCTCTCAAAGTTACATAGTAAGAAAATCTTCCCCAATCCTGTCAAATCCTCAAGTGCTACCTGAAAAAGGCTGCCACATGCTATCCTGTGAAACCTTAAGAGCTTTATGTTCCCACAGCAACCCATCCTGGGGCCTGACCCTAGGAGGTGATGGGTATTTCTGCATAACTAGCAGGCTGTGTCTTGGAGGAAGCAGCATGCCTAGGGGTGAAGACCACTCCTCATAAAAGTACTTGCTGGCTACTTAAGTTCTTGAGAGAGAAGGAGCCTCAATGATGATTCCCTGTAGTATCTGCATGGAGGAGTTGTGATATGCTGAGGTGGGACATAACAAATAAGACGGGGGAAACAGAGCTGACATCTGTCTGGTGGTCGAGCAATGCAGGAAGCACAAATAATGCTCTGTCTCTTAATCAGCCCCAGACCTCACGATGGCAAGGCAGGACCTGCAGGTGTGTGGCTATCATCCAGACTCTGAGCTGGCAGTGCCAAATCTGTTCCCAGTTGTCTTGGCCTGGGGGACACAAAGGAGCTCTGAAAAGCTTGGGCCTGTACATATGCCCAAGCTCTGCTCTTTCTCTTGGGGACAGCACACCCCTTCTTCAAATACCTTAAAAGAAGCAGCCATCATAGTCCCTTGGCAGTGGTCCCCACTGCGTCTCCACAACTTGGCTGCAAAGCTTTCCTCCACACCCGCATCCCACCCTTTGATAAACAGAGCTGTTCTCTGTTCCACAGGCCTGCTTTCTCCTCCAGCCGTCCCTCCTCCACATCTGCCCACTCCACAGTTCTGACGCCCCTGTATTCCCTGTCTACAAATTATCAGCACTCAAAGCCATAAAGTTGGACAAACACACCCATTCTTCTCTTAGGTTCCTATCATACAAACATTCTAGCACAAAGAAAACATTCCTGCCAGGATCCCCCAAACCACTGGACCATTCAGTCAGCAATTGAACCTGACACTCTAATAAGTTATATGCCAACAAGGGGCAGAGAGGAACGGCTCTCTTCCCCATTCATCTAAATGTTCCCTCCTCAGCAGCAGTCATCAGCAGCCACCTTCACATCCACACACAGGCCAGATTACAGCTCCAGGATGCATTCTAGAAAGTCATTCCTTCTAAGAATCTGGGATAAGGTAATGGCAGAGAGCTCTGACTTTGAAGCACAACAGACCTGCATAGCAATCTTAGCTCTGTCTTTTTCTACCTTTGTAGCCCTGCATTTTCTTCACTTTGAAATTCAAGGTCCTCAACAGCAAATATAAGTAAATACAATGATTAAAAACTGGTGCAACAAATTCCATTGATCATTACACATTCACAGTATCACTCTCATTGTCATTCTCCTGTAATAAGGAGAGAAAAGACTGTTTCCCGAGCCTGAGAACTAGTCAAAAGTGCCCATTAGAGCCCATCTAACTCAAAGCATCTTCTCCAGGGAGTGAAAGGGTGTTATTAGGGCTGGGAGCGGTCCCCGGCTGGTGCTACAATCTGCTTTAAATCACATTTGTCCACCTCTGAGTCTGATAACAGTCTGATGAGGAGTAGGCACCAGAAACTTGATTCAGTATTAAGAAGAGAAAAGGAGCTGGTCGTGCATCATCTGGGAAGCCTTTTCCTGACAGCAGGCACTCACACTCAGGAGCTGTGAAGAAGCAAAGACTGCCCGGGGGAGTAGGAGTAGAACAGCAAAGGAAGAAAGAGCTATGGCCAATTAGACGCTACACCCTGGGGATGTGGCAGAGAGGGGATGCTTGGCAGTGATTAACCCAACTCCAGAGGCTCAACTTCCAGATCTTATGACTTACATGCGACTCAGACTTCACAGGCACCCAAGCCAAACACAGAGTGTCTTATGTCCCCCATCATGCTCTTCCTTGATGCTTCGTCCTGGCTAAGATAACTTGTGCCCACTTGCCTAGCAACTACTCACAACTTACAGATGTCCTGCGGACGCCTTGCCTTTGACACTGCTAGCTTGGCATTGTCCTGTCTTCCCATATCACTGTTCTGTCCTTCAGGCATTCTCTGCTTTTCCATGGACACAGAGCAGCCTCTTGTTCAACCATGTTCTAGTCTTAACAGCCACAGAGCGCTTTCTCAAATATAAACCACTCAAGCAATTCCTTGATGCAATGCTGCTAACAATCAAATCCAAAGTCCTCTCTCTGGTTTGTTTGTTTGGTTTGGTTTTTAGGCAGAGTCTCAACATGTATCCCAGGCTGTCCTGGAACTTGATCTGCAGACTAGGCTAGCCTTGAACTCAGGCATTCTCCTGTCTCTGCCCAGCTCTGGGACTAAAAGTGCGTGCCACCATGTCCAGCTCTTCTAGGGTCTCTCTGTGTACTGCTGAAACTTGCTCTGTAGATCAGGCTGGCCTGTCCTGCCTTCATCTTGCTCTCTATAGTGTATTTGGAAAATTCTCACTTCAAAATGCAGCTCAAATGTCTGCTCTTGTGGTATGCCAAGTATGTAAGCACAGCCCTCTTTCCTTAGTCTGAGTTTGAATCCTCAATCTCCTTCAATATGACCTTACATTGTAGATTGTATTTGTTACTATAAAATGAGAACTGGGACTCTCAGAGTCAGAAACCATGTCTAAGTTGGGTATGGTAGTACATAGCTATTATTGAAGCTACTCAGAAGACCAAAGCAAGAACATTCTAAGTTTGAGGCCTGCCTGGGAAACTTTGTGAGATCTTATTTCAAAATATATGAAACATAGATAGGGATTCTATCTCAGTGGTAGAGTACTTACATAGCACGTGTAAGGCCTTGAGTTTAAATCGCTGGAACCAGAAAGAAAGGAGGGAGAGAAGGAAAAAGGAATGAAAGGCAAAACCTTATCTACATGGTTTGTGTTCCTAGAATCATTGCCTCCAACAACTCCTAACATATGCAGTGCCTGCAGAGGGCCTGGAAAACCTTCCATCCTGTAGGGAGTGGAACCTAGAGGCTGATTTCACTGCTGCTACAGGGAGTCCATCCCAGGAAGAGCTAGTAGTTCCCAGAAAAATAGGGAGACTGGGCTCCCTGAAGCCAGATCTACAAACCAAGTTTACTGCTATCCACACTGCCCTTCAATCCAGAGTTATGATCTGGAGACAGAAATCTGATGGAAACAATGAATTAGAGGGTCTAGACAAGGGGTCAGGTCATCTGTAAAATTAAGATGGCTCTGTTTATAGGACAAAATGTCAGGTAGGTGCACCCTGAAGCCAGTAAGCAAGGAAACACTAGAAAAGCAAAAGAGAGAGCCAGTTCCCAGATTCCCACTCAGCTGGGCACAAACTCCTGAAGGTCTTAAAGCTTTGCTCCTTGCTTAAGTGTTGGCTTGTTTTATGTAATGCACAGGATGGCAGGACTGATGCACCCTAGTTCTGTAAGGAAAATTACGGGAGTTGGTACCCTATTTCCTCCATATCTCATTTATTCTTGTTCTGAGTACCTGTAAATTGTTATGACTTATATTATTTAAACTGTCCAAAAAAAGGTGATTTACTGAAATGCTTACTTAAGTGTGAGTTAAGCTACATAAGACATTTCATATGGATAAATTAATAATCCAGAAAAGTTAATGAAACAGATACTTGTTTTTTGTTTGTTTGTTTTTTTGGTTTTTTGAGACAGGGTTTCTCTGTAGCTTTGGAGCCTGTCCTGGAACTAGCTCTTGTAGACCAGGCTGGCCTCAAACTCACAGAGATCTGCCTGCCTCTGCCTCCCAAGTGCTGGGATTAAAGGTGTGCGCCACCAACACCTGACTGATACTTGTTGTTTTAATTTGGAGGTCAGAAATGAAGAGTTTTCCTTTCCATTTTCCCTAGGTCTTCAAAGAATGTGACTAAAATAGTTCATGGACAGGTTATAGAAGCAGCAGGGAGGAAAAAGGCTGTTCTAGAGGAGGTTAGAGGACGCTGGTTAGTCAGAAGGAAAATTATGGCAAAGAACAGCCAGGAGACCTGCTTGGTTCAGTTCCGTGCTCTTAACATCTCATCCCACCTCAGGTACCACGAAAGAGCCTAAGCAGTCAGGCGGAGGGCAGGGGAGGGGGACGGGAAGCTATGGAACAAGATCAAGACCAGGCTCTAGATTAAAATCTAAAACCTTTAAGGGGCAGGTTCTCTGAACTTCAACTTTCTTATCTATAAACAAGCACACAATGGCGCTTATGTACTATAAGTCATAAGAAAGAATCAATATAAAGTTGCCTACAAATGATACCAAGCTGACTTGCAAGTCCAGAGTCCCTTCTCGTGGGGTTCGAGTTTAGATTTTTGTTTTTCTCAGGTATATCATCCCAATAATGCAGACATAACATTAAAGCAACAGCTTAGCATTCTTCCAGTCTGACTGTGTGACACTTGTCCGCCACCCTGTCTTGTTGGAGAGATACCTACTCTATACACTGAAACTGTGATTTGGACAATAACAGGACAGTATTAAAATCCAGGTCCATGGGATTCAATGTTCCCTCTTTGGAGACTAGGTAGCCTTGCCTCACAGGGAGGATGAAGGCTTCGTTGCTCAGGATGTCCTCCCCAGTCAGCAGCTCTCACCTGTGTAGCTCTTCATCAGATGGTGAGTACTTGGCAGTGACATCAGCCAGCTCCCCAAAGATTTGCTTGCTATAAACTGTGAGGGAAGAGAGCAGGATCAATTCCTGCCATGTAGAGCTCAAGAGGCACGTGTAATCCTTGATTGAGAGCTCGCAGAAGAAAGGCAGCTTCTTGATCCAGGCAATTTGTCTAAAGAGCAACTCGTCGGCCAGGCGGCAAAGCAGAGCAAACAGCTCCGCTTGTGTCACGGCGTACCTGGAAGAGGGGGCAGGCCAGAGAGTGAGGGTGGGAGCACAGGAGGGAGGGTGTTCCTTGAAGGCATAGTATGTCCTTGGCAGTAGGGCCCTTGCCCTTAACCACAGATTTCCAGTTTCACTCAACTTCTTATAAAGGGGTAGGGATGAAGTCTGCAAAAAGCTGGGATGGGAGTGGGGGGCAGTTATATGATTTTCTGAGAAGAGGCTGCTGAGAGAAAAAGAGGTTTAGAAACTTGTGGAATTTATGAGGGGCTATCACTCTTAATGTTGGTGTTCTCTAATGTTTCATGCCCTAGAAGAAATTCTTACTCATTCCTGCTCTAGTTTTGGTAATAAAAATACTAATGTGGTGGGTCTGGAGCATACCTAGTATGAAGAACAACAATCACACATACAAGAAAACAGAAACAAAACACAAAGCCAAATAAATCCAAGGGCTAGACTGCCGCAGAGAACAGGCATTCAGAAGCTTTTCCTGTCCTCACTGTGCCCCCTGGTGGTGACAGTCAGGAACCAGAGTTGCTCAGCCTTTCTAAAAAGCTATTTCTTAGCTCTAGCCCACAGGGGACTCTGAGTCTCAGCTTTATTACTGTCAAGGTCCCTGGTCCCCTTGTCATCCTCTTCCTCATTCCCTATATAAAAGCTCTGGGGGATCCTTCCTTTATGTATTTAAATCTACTCTTCTGAAACTGGAGCCTAGCTGAGGATCTCAGGATATCTTTTGGGAGGCTTAAGACTCTAGCAACCCATGTTCTCTACCTAAAAAGTAATGGGTGCAAGAATGGGTGGCCCAGATGATGAACTACACAACATCCAAATGCAGCCAAATGCAGACTGAGGTATCACTGCCACCCACTCAGGTCTGTACCAAAGGCTGCCAGTCACATGCCATTGATTACTAATGGGCATGTTGGCTAGGTATATAGACAGGTCACAACTGATTAGGGTTTGAATGATTTTAAAACCTTAGGCCCGAAGTAAAGCTTATTTCTGACACAAAAACAATCATTTCGGGCTTGGTTTACATAGACCCACAAAGAAATGAAGGCTCTTCAATCACAATTTCATAGGAACTAAAAAGTAACCTGAACTCTCTGAGAAAAGATGCTTAAGGAAACATGAGGAACCAATGCCTTCAGTGACAAAACTGGGGATACAATTGGTGCATGGTAGGAACATTTTGAGACTAAAGGGGCCAAGCAAGGCAGAATTTACTCACCCATCTTCAATCAACATGGGTGTGCCCAACGGCTCCAGGTCTTCAGCTGACATCAGCTGGTGAATCAGACTGTAGGACTGAGGGTCCAAGCTTCGAGCTTGTGGGGGCAGAAGTGGTGAATGGCCAGAATAGCTAAAAAGGTGTGGTATATATTGATAATGTGGAGGCACTGACATCCCCATGTACTGATCCCTGAATGTCATGAATCCATTTAGTTCCACAGACCTACTGGAGAGAAGAACTCCACATTAGGAAAAGCCATGGCAGATTGAGTACATGTTCAAAGGAATAAGATAGCTGAGGTGTTCTCTGGTCATAAAGTCTATAACTAATCAAGTCATGGGACAAAATTAAAGATTACATGCATGTCTACCCATTAGATTTCAGCCATGAGACAAGGACTCTGTGAGAGTGCAGAAGCATGGGGCTCACCATTGGCAAACTCAGTGACTTATAGGAGATATAAATAAATAAGGATTGGTTGAAGTCTTTGTACTGATGTCACAACTAGCACCGCACTCAAGCTAGGTAGGTGCTTGGCCATTGTGCTCTGTCCTAGTGCTCCTCTACCTACTAACATACATTTGAGATCCTGTCTCTAGGGCTAGTTGCCAGGGCTAACCTTGAATTCATTCTGTAGCCCAGGCAGGTTTTGAAGTTGTGATCCTCTTGCCTCAACCTCCTCGATAGTTGAGACAGTAGTCTTCACCACTAAGCCCAGATTGAAAGAGTTTTTAATGTACACCAATAGACTATTGTGACAAAAAATGTGTGTTTATATTGTTGTTTTACTGTTAGGAAAACAAAAGGCACAGGGCAGGCTAAGTGGACTTAATTAGTCCAAAAACCAAATCCAGTACCTAGCATGAAATATAGCCTGAAGTCCTTAAGTTCCTAACCCCTAAAGAGAAAGAACAGGGAACAAATAATGGACTAGAAAGCTCTAACTGAATATGAAGAGGAAGGCAAGCTCTTCCCTGCTTCCTCTCTTTGGGAGAAATCTAATCATTTTCTCAATTGACTAAAGAAGTTACATCTGTTTATTTATATTTCTAAGCATGTGTGAGAGTGCATGAGCGAGTGACTCTCCTGACGCACGTGTGGCATCAGGCTTGGCAGCAGGTGCCTCTACCTGATGAACCATCTCACCAGCCCATTGTTATTTATCATTTTGAAACTCATTTAGCTTTTCCTAGATGTATCTCCTATGACTGAGTTTGGCAAACTATAGTTTATAGGCCAGACCTAGCCTAAGGCCTATTTTTGGTAAATTGAGTTTTTTATGGGAACAAAGTCACACTCACTGTTTTACATATGATGTGTGCAGTTTTTGAGCCACTAAGGCACAGTTGGGGAGCTGGGACCCAGGCCAGACTTAGAAAGTCTAAAATAGTTACTATATGGCCTTTTAAATTTTTGTTTGTCTATTTGGAAATAGGTTCCCTATGTAGTCCTGCCTGTCCTAGAATGACCTTTTATAAAAGAAAGATTTTTTATCATGTGCATATATAATGGTGTGTGTGTGTACAGGTCTGAGATTGATGTCAAGTACCTCTCTCAATGGTTTTCCACCTTATCCTTCTGAGACAGGGTGTCTAAAAAGACCTGGAGCTTATCAGTTCAGTCAGATTAGCTGGACAGTGAGCGCCAGTGGCCACAGTCTCCCTAGTGCTAGAAGGACACAAAGTCTATATAGTCCTCACTGCACCTTACTTTTATGTGGGTGCTGGGGATCCAAGCTGGGGCCTCATGACTGCAGAGCAAGCACTTTACAGCCTGAGCAATCTCCACAGGCCCTACTGTGTGACATCTTTTTCTCATTTATTATTTATTTATTTTTTAAAGAGTTATTTATGCTGGACAGTGGTGGCACAAGCCTTTAATTCCAGCACTCAGGAGTCAGAGGCTGGGAGATCTCTGAGTTCGAAGTCAGCCTAGTCTACAAGAGCTAGTTTCAGGACAGCCAGGACTGTTATACAGAGAAACCCAGTCTCAGAAAACAAAACTAACAAAAAGATTTATGTATATGAGTGTTCTGTCTGCATGTTTGCCTGCACTTCAAAAGTGGTCATCAGATCCATTACAGATGGCTGTGAGCCACCATGTGAGTGCTAGGAATTGAACTCAGGACCTCTGAAAGAGCAGTCAGTGCTCTTAACCTCTGAGCCATCTCTCCAGAGATTTCAAGAAAATATCTTTGATTCTTGTCCTAAATGAAAGACTTCTGGGGCGAGGAGCCCTCCATTATAGCTAAAAGCTATATTACAGCTACTAGCTAACTTAAGATAGCACGATTGCCTCAAGAAGCTTTAATTTTTTTTTTAAAGATTTACTTATTTATTATGTATACAGTGTTCTGCCTGTGTGTATGCCTGCATGCCAGAAGAGGGCACCAGATCTTATTATAGATGGTTGTGAGCCACCAAACGGTTGCTGGGAATTGAACTCAGACCTCTGGTGAACAGCCAGTCTTCTTAACCGCTGAGCCATCTCTCTAGCCCCTGAGACTTTAATCTTTAGTTCCCTAATAACACTGACTCTTGTGAGTTAGAAAAACTGTTAACTCAATTCTGCAAACAGTGTATTAAAATGTTATTCTGCTAACTGAAGCCTATGTAGGCATGGACAGAAGTAGTGCTTATCAGTCTGAAAAAGAGGCTGATGACATTTTGTTTTGGTCTTGGAAAGCCGGCCTTGTACCATCCTGGTCCCCAAGAGCCTGAGAGACCAAGGGCACAAAGGCTGAGGCAGCCTGGTAGAAGAGCACTCTATCAGAAGTTCTTTAGAGGACAACTTGCTGGGTAGTCTGTAGATAATGATACTGGGCTTGCCTTTAGCTTACCTGGATGACAATGTGGAGCCTGGCGAGGGCTGGTTGCTCTCTGAAGCCCTGTTCCCAGGGGAACTGTGGTCACTGTCACCATGGTTGCTCCAGTGATTGGCTTCTTCCTCAAACTCTTGTCCTGACATGATTCTTTCAATCTCTTCTTCTGATATCTTTGACAAGAAATGGACAAATGTTACAGCTGGTACTATAGATACCTCTTGTTCTGTCTGTAGGACACTGAGTTTATACTCCAGGTCTCTTATACTCTTTGGAGTTCCTTGGTTATGCCCAGTATATCTGGACACAATCTTGACTTTTTCCTTGCCCATTTACCCTACCTTCCAGCCACAAAGTCTATTTCTCAACTCTCGGTTTTGCGTCCTCACTTTCCTAACTGAAACTTCATTCTTCAATGACAATCCCCTACTTGCTCTACCCAATAATGAATGTTATCTCCTTTGTAAAATTATCTAGCATTATTTACTATTCATAATTATATGGATTCTGAGAAAAGAAGGGCAGCATCATGGCTAATAGTATAAATTCAGGAAGCAGACCATCTTTTGTCAAATCCAGACTTCTGGAACAAACTTGGTAAAGTTACTGAATTATCTCACGTGAAGTATGTCCATCTGTTTGGTAGATAGAACAAAATCTCCACCTCACTGGATTCTTGAGGATTAATCAAATCAGATACTTAGAAAGGGGACTAGCACTGAGAGTTACAATATCATCATCTTTGGGTTGCTTTGTTTGAGACAGGTCTTGTTACAGTGCTCAGGATAGTCTTAAATTCCTAGGCTCAAGCAGTCCTTCTGCCTCAATCTTCCAAGTCGCTGAAACTATAGGTGTGTATCACCAAACTGGGTTGTCATTGTTACAGAACCCTCATAGTAACATATCACTAAAATATCCTTTGTATAGCTAAAACAATGGGTGATAGGATCTAACAAAGAAGTGTATAATAAATGGGTATTAAGTAAGTGGTGTTCATTGTTTAAGAGCTGACATGTACTTTCACATGGATTTTCTTTTTTCCTAAGAAAGATATCACTTACGGGCAGTGGTGGTGGACACCTTTAATCCCAGCACTCGAGAGACAGAGGCAGGCATAGCTCTGTGAATTTGAGGTCAGCATGGTCTACAGAGTAAGTTCCAGCACAGCCAGCCAGGACTATTTCACAGAGAAAACCTGTCTCCAAAAACCAAAAACCGAACCAAACCAAACCAAACCAAACAAACAAAAACAGAAATAAAAAAAAAGAATATCACCTAATCTATTATTCTATTAAATAAAACTTTAAGAAATCACAACTCACATAAGTCATACTGTGTGCACCTAGATATGGTTGGGGGTATGAGGAAGAAACAGAAATATACTAGAACTTAGTCTAGTACTCTATAAAAAACTTTATCTTCTATACAGTTTCTAACTTAGGGTTGAGGCCTAACTGGTCACAGTCAACAAAGGGCAGACAGAGTAAGTGCTAAGGAGGAGGGCCAGAGAAAATTTTATATGATGTTTCTATGGAAACTGCAAAGTCCATTTTTTCACAGGCTCGTTTGGTTCAGACCTGTATATGTATTTGCTCTAGCGGCGTTCAAGAAAACCCTGAACTGTCATGGTCATAAACAAAAGCTTTCAGAATGCAACACTACAGGAGCAGTGAGATGACTCAGCAGGGAATCGTGTTTGCCATTCCAGCCTGAGGACCTGAGTTCAACCCTTGGAAGCGATGTAAAAGTGTAAGGAGAAAACAAACACCTCCAACAATGAACTGTGGTACTTGTGTGTTTCCATGCACACATCACACATGTGAGCACACAAGGGCACATATGTATAAACATATAAAACAATGATAATAATTTTTTAAAATTCATATTTATTCTCTCATTTATCCTGACTCTAGTTTCTGATCACTCCACTCCTCCCAGTAATAATACAGTTTTTTGTTTGTTTTTGCTTTTTTTTTTTCAAGACAGGATTTTTCTGTGTAACAGCTTTGGTTGTCCTGGAACTCATTCTGTAGACAAGGCTGGCCTTGAACTCACAGGGATTTGCCAGCCTCTGCCTTCCAAGAGCTGGGAATTAAAGGCGTGTGCTACCAGTGCCTGGCATAATAAAGTTTTGGTTTTTTTTAAAAATAAAAAAAAAGAACTGAACATTAATGAGAATATGGGACTAGGCAAGAAGGATTTAACTAGTAGATAAACAAAGGAGCTGGTCTGAAATTATTTGGTGTATACATTGAAATGGAGCAACTGTTTTTGAAAATTAAGTCATATATACCAAAGAAACAAACTCCAGCTTTTCTCTTAATTTCAGAACCCTGAAATTGTTGTCACTCAAGTGATGGTACTGACAGCAAGAACAGAGTTTGAAGACTTGGGCTGGGTGAAAAGAGCCAACCCAACTCCCACGTGGGAGTTGTGACTGCTTTCCCTTGTGGGCACCATGGGACAGTGAACAATCACTGATACACTGACTACAGAGAGGACAGAACTTGTTGGGAATGCTTGGCCTGGGTTCTAACTTCATTTGTTACTTCCTAGTCAGATGCTCCTGGGAGAGTCAAGTCATGTGAACTCTCTGCCTGCAGACAGAGGCAATATTACCCTTTGTAGCTCACGGCTACCCCATCAGAGGTCAAAGTCAGACAGACTTGGGAGTTAACCCAAGATAGAGTGATAAAACAGACAGAGAATAGATGTTTAATAAATGGAAACTCCATCTCTCCTTGTTGTTTTGCTTGTTTTTGTTTTTTGAGACAGGGTTTCTCTGTAGCTTTGGAGCCTGTCCTGGAACTAGCTATTGTAGACCAGGCTAGCCTGGAACTCACAGAGATCTGCCCACATCTGTCTCCTTGTTTTTATTAAGACTAGCTAAACACAGATGGGTAGTGGTAGTACAAGCCACTACTTGTACTACCCAGTACTGAGGAGGCACTCAGGAGGCAGAGGCAAATGGATGGATTTCTGTAAATTCAAGGCCAGCCTGGTTCCAGGATAGCCAGGGCTGTTATACAGAGAAACCCTGTCTTTTATTCTTTTTATAATTTTACGTATATAAGTGCTCTATCTGCATGCCAAAAGAAGGCATCATATCCCACTATAGACGGTTGTAAGCCACCATGTGATTGCTGGGACTTGAACTCAGGACCTCTGGAAGAGCAGCCAGTGCTCTTAACCACTGAGTCATCTCTACAGCTGGTTGTGATGGTACATGCTGGTAGAATTTGCTCAATGAGGTTGAGAAGAAAGACTATGAGGCCAGCTTGAGAGAAGCCCTGTCTTGAAAAAAAGAAAAAAGAATAGCTAAACACAACTGAGAACTTACAGATCACAGCTCTAACACACTACCCATAAAAACCAAAATAATATGCTTAGCATAAAAACTCAAACATAACTGGGTGGCGGAAGCACATGGCTTTAATCCCAGCACTCAGGACATAAATGTAGAAGGATCTTTGAGCCAGAGGACAGCCTGGTCTACAGAGTGAGTTAGTTCTAGGATAGCCAGAGCTACACAGAGAAACCCTGTCTCAAAAAACCAAAGCAACAACATCAACAACAAGAAAAACTCTCAAACACAGTAGCAGATGAAATGGCTTTTCTACTCACTGGTGTCTTCAGTTCTAAAGGAAACAGTAGGACCTGAGCATCCCCGGGCAGGGCAGAAGTCTTATGGCAGAAGACTAAGAATTCATTAGGTGCTACTATAGCAATAGTTCTCAACCTTTCTAATGCTTCAACCCCTTAATATAGTTGCTTGTGTTGTGGTGAACCCACCAAAAATAATTTGTTGCTACTTCATAACTGTGATTTTGCTACTGCTATGAATTGTAATATAAATATCTGTGTTTTCTGATACACAATCAACATAAATGAATTCTTTTGTTATAGGCTATCAGGAAACAACCTGAAAAAAAAATTTTTTTGTTTGTTTGTTTGTTATTTTGAGACAGGGTTTCTCTGTGTAGCCCAGGTTGTTCTGGCACTCAAGAGATTGCCTGCCTCTGCCTCCTAAATGTTGGGATTAAAGGCATGCACCATCACCTCCCATATGAAAATTTTAAGGAAACAATTCCACTTAGAATAGCATAAAAATGTAATAAAGTTAAGAGGATCAAAGATTTACACAGTGAAAAGCACAAAACATTGCTAAAAGAAATTACACACTCAGCCAGTGTAAGTGTAAAGGCACACACCTTTAATCCCAGCACCTGGAAGACAGGGGCAGGTGGATCTCTGTGAGTTAGAGGTCTATAAAGTCTCAGGACAGCTAAGGCTGTTACACAGAGAAACCCTGTTTCAAAAACAAAACAGACAAACAAAAATTCCAAACACACATATAAATGTTTGTGGACCAGAAAACTTAATACTGATGTTTACAAACCATCCTAAGAGTTGGAGAGATGGCTCAGTGCTTAAGAGTACTGACTGATCTTTCAAAGGACCCAGGTTCAATTCCCAGCACTCACATCACAGTTCACAGCTGTCTGTAACTCCAGAAAACACCATTGAAAACAAAATAAAAATACATAAAGTAAACACACACACACACACACACACACACACACCTTAAAAGCCATATGAAACCAAAAATCCCCACAGCAGCCAGGAGAATCTTAAGAAGGAATAACGAAGCTGGAGCTGTACACTTCCTGGTGTTAAAGCATACTACAGTGCTGCAGTAATCAAAACACTGGTACAGACATATAGCTCAACAGAATAAAATAAAAGCCTACAACTACACTCAGAAATATATGGTCAAACAACCTTCAACAAAGGTCGAAGACTACATAGTGGGGAAAGAATAATCTCCTGACTAACAGTGCCAGGCAAACGTTTGGCAGTCTCACACATACAGGCAGAAGCATAGAAAGAAAAAGAGAGTCCTCTTGTCTTATACTACACACAAAGATCAACTCAAAATTTATTAAATGTAAGGTCTGAAATTGTAAAATTCCTGGAGAAAAATAGAAGAAAAGTCTTCTAAGGTTGGTCTTAGCAATGATTTCATGGATAAGACACCAAAAAAGCCCAGGCAGTATGAGCTAAACTAGAAAAAAGCAGGCTGAGCAGCCAACAAACCACCATCCCTTCAAAGCAGCCTATGAAATTAGAGGGAAGGAGTTAGCATCTGGAACATGGTGAATTCAAGAGGTAGAGTTTTCAATCATAAAAGATAAAAAATGCTAGAGGAGACTGATATACACTTAAGTGAGTAAAGTGTTTGCTGAGCAGGAGAAAGATCTGAACACAGACCCCAGTGTTCACAGAAAAGTCAGGTGTAGCGATGTACATACACGGTCATCTCAGTGCTGATGAGTGGGCAGACAGGTGCATACTGGGGACTCTGGCCAGCCAGTCTAGGAGCAATGGCAAACCTGAGGTTTAGTGAAAGACCTTGTCTCAAAAAATAAGGCAGAGAACAAATAGAGACATCCCGATACCAATCTCTGCCCTCCATAAGTGTCTATATGGATGATAGCATCCACTCCCCACATACCACACACACACAACCACATGCTGTTTTCAGACCAGACTGAAATAAATTATTTTTCAAGAGAAAAATTTTTCAACAGGAATAAAAATGCTTGATTAAACAAATCAAAACAGTAAAATTGGGAGTTTTACACACAAATATATACACATTGATTTAGTACATGCTGTGTACCCATGCAGAGGACATAGCTCAGATTTCTTGTCTTTCCTTTGTTTATATTTAATTGGAGAAATCCTTTAATTTGCTTATGAACTCTCTCTTGGCTCTCTTTCTGCATTCTGATCTGTGCTGTCATTGTCCTACTTCAAACTATTAGCTGACTCTTTTTTGTTTGTTTGTTTGTTTGCTTGTTTTCTTTAAGACAGGGTTTCTCTTTAGCTTTGGAACTCACTTGGTAGACCAGGTTGACCTTGAACTCACAGATAACCGGCTGTCTCTGCCACCCGAGTGCTGGGATTAAAGGTGTAACCTTTAATTAAAGGTGTAACGAGATTGGGCTACATCAATCTCGTTCTCGTTCATTGAATAGGCTTCTGCAAACCTATTTTAAACAATTTCCATTATTTTTTTCTAAAATGCAAATCTGTATATGACACTCTCCCTGTTTGCAACTGTTAAGTGATTGCTTCTTGGTACATAGCAAAAATTTTTAAAACTCAACCTGGCTCCTCATGTGCTTGAGAATTATTTTGATGGGTGGGTCATAAAATAGATCCAATTTTCTAGACTCTGGAGGCCCTTCTGTTTGCTACTAGGAACAGGTGGTGTAGGATGGCCCCATAAAGGCCCCACAAATGAGCCCATGGCATGGGCTGAGACCATGACAGCTGAGACCACTCTTTAGAGAACTAATAGAAATCCAAGGCCTCTACCTTACTTCTTTCCATGCTACTACATGTGCCGAGTGCTCCAGCTTCACTGAACTACCTTCTGGTGATTTTTTTAAAGGATCTGTCTGTCTTTAGGCCATTCCAGTCTATTCTATCTAGCTTTGATAAACAATGTGTAGCTTTTCAACACAACTACTTCTTCCTTCCCCTTCAAGGATAAGTTCAAAAGTACCTTAAGGAACCTTTTCCCGAGTGTCTCCAGCCTCTACATCTTCTGCTAACTCTCAGTGTACTGTGTCTATTTAGTATCTGTCTGTCTCATTAGACTGAGTCCATAGTATATAGACTAAGAGAGTAGGAACTTGGTAAATACCCATGGAAAGGAGTGGAATAGGAAGACTATTATTACTACTTTATATGAACAACAGCCAGGTGATGGTGGCATACACCTTTAATCCCAGCACTGGGGAGACAGAGACAGGTGTGATGGAGAACCTCCTTCAACCAATGGCCTTTAAGAGGCTGGACCAGGTGGGCATGGAAAAAAGTCATTGCTCGACCTCTTCCACACCTGGATGTTGAACCTGGTTCCTGTTTCCTTATTGTGATGTTGAGTTTCCCTTTTAATAAAGAAAAACCTTAGAAGTCCCAATTCAGAGCTAGTGTGGGATGATTTGATTCACATTTCCCCATCTGATGCGTTCTGCTTCACGGGTGGATGTCTTTGAGTTTGAGGCCAACCTGGTCTACAAAGTAAGTTCTGAGGCAGCCAGAGCTGTTACAAGCGGAAACCCGGTCTCAACTCCCCACCCCCAATAAACCCCCCCCCCCCAACACACACACACAGAGAGAGAGAGAGAGAGAGAATATGATTTTTGCTGATTTCTGCCAGGCTAAGTTACCTATAACTAAGTTATTGATCAAAAGGAAAAAATATTTCTCTGGATGGTTTAGAACCAGAATTGAGTTCATTACCTGTGAAATTCTTAGGAAGGATTGAGGGATCATAAGGAGAGCTTTAGACTTTAAACATTCAGACTCTAAACACAGCTTTACAGAAGTGAAAGCCAAAATGGCAGAAGAGAGAGACTCAAGGTGAACAGCTACAGGAACATTTGGAACACTAAGCTTCCAGATCACACTAGGAGAGTGAGTGCAAGAACTCACCTGCACTGGCCCAATGCTCTTATTCCGGCCTCCAGGCATGCCATCCTCTCTGATAGCTAGAAGGAAATATAAGACAGTCAGAAGCACACTCATAGTCATTTAAAAATGAAAAGGAAACTTATCTGTACCAGCACTAGGGAGGCAGAGGCAGGCCGATGTATATGCACTTGGGGCCAGCCTGGTCTACTACAAAGTGAGTTCCAGGACAGTCAGAGCCACATAGTGAAACCCTGTCTTAAATGCATGCGCGCGCGCACACACACACACACACACACACACACACACACAAAACTTACCTCGCTAAAAGTATACTGTAGTAAGTGATGAATTCAAGACCAAAACACAGGCCATTCTGAACACACAGTGCACGTTATTGCTATAAGTTGGCCACAAGCAGCAGATACTTTTGGGTCCCCAAGGTAGTGGATGCATACTGCATATATTGTACACATTCAAGATGTCCAACAAAAATGGAGCATTGTTAACAAGTAAAATATCCCACAAGAAAGGGATATTTCTGAGGGACATTTTAGTGTGTGTGTGAGTGAATAGTTGCACTTTAAAATAAAATATATTTTATTCTTTGCCTAAGTTTAATGTAAAGGATTAGAACAGCACTCTACTGCCCAGGTAGATGCACATATGGCTTTTGATGCTGAGTTTTTATTAATTGCAATGATCACCTTACTAGTTTCTCATCACAAAAGCAGGAAATTGAAGCTGAAGGAACATACTTAGCATTTCCTTATTTTATATGTATGAGTATCTTGCCTACTTGTGTGTACCCATGTGTGACTGGTGCTCACAGGTCAGAGGAGGGAGTCAGATTCCAGAAACTAGTTATGAATGTTTGTGATTTACTGTGTGGGGTCTGGGTGCCATTCAGATCCTCTGCAGGAGCAGCAAATGTTCTTAAACACCAAGCCATTTATCTAGTTATCTAGTCCCCAAATGATTCTTAGGTTGCAAGTTTGTTGTTACTGTTTATTTAAATTTTAGAATTTATCTCTATGCATATGTCTGTGCACTATGTGCCAGGTACCTAGTAAGGCCGGCAGAGGGTGCTGGATACCCTGGGATACCTTAAGAAACCCGTAAGCTGCCAAACCAGAACCCAACACTGCACTTAGAAATGTTTTGGGGCTGGAGAGATGGCTCAGTGGTTAAGAGCACTGACTGCTCTCCCAGAGAACCAATGTTCAATTCCCAGCACCCACAAGGCAGACAGCTGACAAATTTCTGTAACAGTTCCAGGGAATCTGACATCTTCATACCAAAAGCAGATAAAAATAAAGTTAAATAAATATTGAAAAGAAAGAAATCATGTTTCTATTGTTTTCTCCAAATTGTAACAACTCTTTAGTCTTTGTCTTCCTGACCTTGACACTTTCCAGTAGTGTGTTACACTATAGCTTCCTACCATGTTAGTTATTCTGAAAAACAATCTTCTAGCTGGAGGTGGTGGTTTGTCTTTAATCCCAGCACTATAGAGGCAGAGACAGAAACAGGTTGATCTCTGTGAATTCTATACCAGCCTGGTCTACAGAGTGAGTTAGTTCCGAGACAGCCAGAGCTACACAGAGAAACCTTGTTTGGAAAAAATCAAAAACAGAGAAAATAAAAATTAGAAATAAATAAAAAAACTTATGTCAATAAGGGCTCCTAAGTTTTCTCATGAGTATTCTGATAATGAACTTCATGCTCTCTCTCCCCTCCCTCCCTCGACTCTCATCTCTGTGTGCGCCAGTGCTTGTCTTGACATTCTTACCAGGGTAAATTATATTGGTATGCTTACTAGTGATACAAACTATGGTGGAGGGTAGTTTTACTTGACACAAGCTAAAGTCACAAGCTAAGAGTCACCCAGGTGATACTGGTTTTGAAGGCATGAGGGGTCATGGAGAACAGCTGAAGCCTGACATTGTGAGACACCAGGAGAGGCCACTGGTAAAGGTGCAGCCTCAGTGGTACTTGAAGGCCCGAGATTGAATGGGTCATGCTGAGATGTGGAGGTTTGGCACCATGAAGAGGCTATTGATGAGAAGTGCAGTCCATTTGCAGCAGAGACCCCAGCATTTGAGATGCCAGTGCCATGGGATGACCACCAAAAACAGCAGCAGCAGTGGAGAGGATCCTGCTTGAGTTTACAAGACAAGCTGTGTGTGCTGCAGAGGACAGAGCTGGAGAACTGACCCAAGTCCTTTAGAAAAACCCAGAAGATCATAAATGGATCCCATACATTAGACATTACTCTACACTCTTGGGAGTTTGATATTGCTTGGATTTGATTGTGACTATGCCTTGGTTCTTCCCTCTTGAAGTAAGAAAGATTTTAACTTAATTTTTACTTTTATAGGTGCCCACATCTTTAAGACTTTGAATTTTTAAAAGAGACTTTGGATTTTTAGAGATTGGATATTTTAGAGATACTGAACTTTAATGTGTTTGAATCTGTAAAGACTGTGGGACTTTTAAAGTTATTTATGTATTTTTGTTTTGTTTTTTTGAGACAGGGTTTCTTTGTGTAGCCCTGGCCATCCTGGAACCAGTTCTATAGATCCTACTACCTCTGCCTCCCTAACAGGGAGTCCAGCTGCGTGTTGTGGCGCTATTTATGTTTTTAATGTGAGAACTGGAGATGAATGAGAAAATGTGTTTCAGATTGACAAGGGGTCAATTGTATGGACAGTCTTAGGTCAACTTTACACAAGCAAGTCATTTGAAAGGAGGGAATCTCAATTGAGAAAATGCTTCCATAGGATCAGACTGTAGGCTAGCTTGTAGTACATTTTTAAAATCAGTGATTGAATGGAAACAGTCCAGCCATGTGGATGGTGCCATCTCTAGGCTGGTGGCCCTAGGTTCTGTAATAAAGTAGGCTGAGCAAGCCAGTAAGCAGCACCCCTCCATGGCCTCTGCATTAGCTTCTGCCCTGTTTGAGTACCTGCCCCAACTTCCTTCATTGATAAACAGTGATATGGAATTAGAAGCCAAATAAAATAAACCCTTTCCTCCCCAACTTATCTTTTGGTCCTGGTGTTTCATTGCAACAACAGAAACCTTGACTAAGACACTAACCTTCATCACATTCTGGCTGAAGTAAATTCTCCATGGAAACAATTTCCTTTTGAGTTATTGTTTTAAACTTCAATAGTTTAAACCAGTACTCATTTCTGTTGGATCCCTATAGTGGATCTCAGCTGCAAGTCAGTACTGTGGTGTTGTAACTTGTATATCATGTCTTCTCTACTTACTCACTGGATTTCTTTCATAAGGAAGAATGGTCGCTTCTGTTTATTCAGCTAGTTATTTCTATTAATATAAGCATGCGTAGACTTATTTCTGAATATCAGAATATCTGAATTTCTGAATACCAGAATTCTGAATAACAGAATACCTAGAGATGTTCTGTTAGAACAACTGTGGTTACCGGGAGCTCTCAGGTTGATTTCTGTGCCCTTTCACTGTGCCCTGTGTGCTCACTCACACACTCACGCACACACTTGCTCTTGTTCATTTATTAAGTGTATGTGGTACCTGTGAAGGTCAGAAAAGAGCCATGGATCTCCCAGAGATGGAGTTAAAGATGTTTGTGAGCACCTGGCGTGGGTGCTGGGATCCAGACTCTGGTCCTATCTGCAAGAGCAGTAAATTTTCTTCACCATGAAGTCATTTCTTCAGGGTTTTAACCCCATCACCTCTCCTATTTTCAAGTCCTCTAAAACTCGCCATGCTTATATTCTTCTTGTTCCAGTCCTGAATTCAACTATTTCCCCATGGAGACCTTACTGTTGTGGCGGGGGTCCTTCTGTCTGTGTGTTGCTTTTATTGGCTAATGAATAAAGAACGGTGTTGAGCCTATGGCAGGGAAGAACAGAACTAGGCAGGGAGAGGTAGTTTATATGCTGGGAGAAGGAAGGGCAGAGTCAGAGATGTCATGTAGCCCAGCCGGAGACAGACGCTGGAACTTTACCCTGTAAGCCACAGACATGTGGCCATACACAGATTAATAGAAATGGGTTAAATTCAGATGTAAGAGTTAGCCAATAAGAAGCTAGAGCTAATGGGCCAAGCAGTGATTTAATTAATACAGTTTCTGTGTGATTATTTCGGGTCCAAGCTAGCTGGGCAGCCGGAAACCAACAAGCAGCACTTTACTCTTTTTTACTGACACTTAAAACAGATTCTGGGTACTGGCTGTGTCTAGCCTCATGTAGTGGTTAGGGTTTATAGAAATACATGTATGGACACTAAGTCACATACACCCCACACAATTTCTATTGTCCATTCACCAGATACCAGGCCCATATTAATATATCTGACTCTGATATTCATTTTAGCCTTTCCTAATTAATAACTCCTTTCTCAAATATAGTATATTTATTTGCCTGTTCAACCACAGTATTCAATTAAAATAGAGACAGAATTTCTAACATATAACCTTGAGAGAAAAATGTTACAAATCAGAATGCTTTGTTTGTATACAATTGTTTTTATCCTTACCCTTACAATATCAGTCAAACACTGTTTTCCAAGGTCAGCTCCCTTCCTCCCTAGCGCCTCAGTGTGGTTATGTGACTCATTTTAAGACCAGCTAAATGAATCCATCACATTGTTGACTCCATCTCTCCACCCACTTCCTCCACACCAACACATATAGCTTGACTAGTTTTTTATATCCAGTAAAAGTCACTTTTTATAACGTACAGTTCTATGGCTTTTGATAAGTAAGTAAAATTATTCATTACCAGTTATGAAAGTTTCAGAGAGTATCTCTTACTTCCTAAATAATCCCATGGAAAGTCTAATTTAGTCCTGCCTTCTCAAGACCAACCGGAAGTGGGCAGGGTTTTCCCTCAGCATCCTTCCCTAGGCTACTAAGCCAGTTTCAAGGAAACAAACCAGGCAACTCTCTGTCCCAAGTGTCACAGTCTCTGGGCTGTAAGAGCTTTCAAGAGTTATAAAGTATGATTCTTCTTCCCCAAAACAAAAAACAGATGAGTTTAACTGGAAGTTCAGAATCCTACATGCCAAATGACTAACCAAGATAATCAATCTGTGTATGCAGTCAAGAAAGTATCCCACAACTTAGCAGAGACTTAGTACTCACAGACCCTGGGCAATGAAGGAAGATGAGAAAAAATGGAGTATAAAGGCAAATCAGAGTGAAGGTAGAAAGACAGTACTGCTCTGAAATTGGTAACTAGCAAGGATTTCTGTAAGAGACGAAAATACTGGGGAAGAGAATGTACTTCAAAATTATTATCAATCACCATGCTCACTCCTCAGCTGCATGTGTAAACTGGGAGTCAATAGGATTAGTGTCTGTGACCAACAGACAACGCATACAAAGTAAAGAAGAGTCTATGGCACCTATATCTAAGTGTTCAATGTTAGTTCTGCAAATACTCTGTAGGACACCTAATCTAAATGTCCTTAAATAATCCTCTTACCTTTCTTTCTTTCTTTCTTTCTTTCTTTCTTTCTTTCTTTCTTTCTT